ACGAACCCTTTGTACGAACAAAAGTAAGAGAAATTTAGGATAAGAATATGAACATGTTCTTGCATGAGGCCCAATCAGTCAAACTGACTTCATTTTATCAGGTTTTCCACAATTTAGAGTGGCAGCATATCTTTATGCTAGGGTTGGGCATAATCGTATCGTGTGCGAATAATCGTCAGAAAAACATTAATCGATTATTTTTTGGCACTTGACGATTAATACGATTAATGCAACCAGGCAGAGTCCGGTCAGTGCTCCTCTCTSCTTCATATATGACAAACATAAAAAAAGGTTCTGTAATTTATTTATCTATCAACACAATTTAAAACTTGATGTTTGCCTGAAGTCTGTGATTTTGACACAATTTGGAACAGATTTTATGATAAGAAAATCTTTCCCACTAAATTGGTCATGTGACCAGGACATAAAGGTGTCCAGGGACTCCAGGGGGTTAATTGTCAAATTAATTGTTATTGGCTAAATACCACAATTAATCGTGATTAACTTTTTTGCCAATATTGCCCAACCCTACTTTATGCAATATACCACTGGCTCACTCTGTACTATAACATTAACAGAAGACAGTTTTTCTAACGAATAATTGCACATGACAGGATTTTGCCCAACCACATCAAATTTTGGACAGCATCTATAAAATTGTCAGATTTAAAGCCATTGTTGTGTGTTTTCAAGGTTAGTTGGCCGTTACAGCCAAAGACAATTATTTGTAAATGTACATAAAATAATAACAATGAGATATTTTGCTAACAGACAGAAACACACATTCATTATCAATGGGTGGATGGCGATAACAAAAAATGTAAAATTTAATTATTGTGTGTTTTAAGTAAAACTTTTAGCTAATTAAATGATATGGACAAATGGTAAAAGGTAATAATAAATTGTTTTGTCACTTATTGTCAACTAAATAAAACAGGTTTAATGGATCAAGTTGAATATTTAGCCTGAAGGAAACAAAAAGCTTGTCAACATGCAGGATCTGAATCTGGAGGAAATTAATCCATTTTCTCCTCCTTAAAACTTTCCGTTATGGTGAAATAACTGGTTTCTGTTCAATCCTGTGAAATGGGACCAAGAAGGTCCAGTCTAAAAGCAGCTGGAAACTCGTGGTTCGGACCCAGCTTGGAGCTACATTTCCCTGCTAACTCGTTTGTATTTATCACCATCATCATCATCATGTGAACGACTGAAAGAAGCTTATAATTATTTTATTTACTTCGATTTTTCACTCKGTTTTCCCTCAGGACCCTTCGGACCAAATGTCTGGTACGACCCGGGAAAGATCCGGAGTCCAAACTCCGGTAATTGAACAAAAAAGGAACGGTTCACCAAGTTTTACCGGAGTTTGTTGTKCGGGATCCAACTTCTATTCTCACAGCTCGAACCGGGTCTAACTGCAGGTTCGGCCAGCAGATGCACACGCAGCGTTACTCACCGACCGGTTCTCCCCACGGCTCTCGGTCCAGTCTCCATTTCGTGTCCAAGTCGACATTTTGGGACAAGTTTTAAAGATCATTCTCCGAGTTCGGGCCTGGACTGCTGAGATCTGCTGGGGGAGCCAGGCATTCTGGGAGGATGACGTCACAGCTCGGGCTCAGCTCAAGTCCAGCGGAGGAGCGAACATGCGTCCAGTCCAGAAATGTACTGGTACCATCTGAACACAGGCACCTGGTTCTGTCAGAATCAGTGGCACAGTATTCATAGAGTGACCATGTATTTGTTTAACATACTTGCACACAAATCCCCAGTTTTGGTGAGGTGTATTACACAGTCTCACATGTTCAACAGTTGCAATGTAATGTAAAGTAAGTGAAAAAAAAGCTTGCACAGTAAATTCCCATTACCATTTTTACATGTATTATTACTGTACATAGATAAAATACTCTTAAACATACAGCATGTGAGAAAATCCAGCCATAGTAAGTGACCTAATGCATCTCAGTAATACAGGTAGAACAGTTTTTCAAAAGTAGCAGAGTTGTAAAATAACTTAGTACAAATACATTGTTACTGTCATTAAGTATAATTTTTGGGTATCTGTACTTTACTTGAGTAATTATTTTTCAGCCTACTTTTTACTTCTACTCCTTACATTTTCACAATTATCTGTTCACTCAGCAAAAATCACAGTGTAAAAATTTTAGTGTTAAACTTTTCAGAGTTGATTTTAACCCCTGAAGTGTCATTTTAACACTTTCTGAGTTAACTGGCAGCCAGTGTTGGTGTTAATTCACAGACTGTCTTAACTCTGGAGAGAGGAACCTGATCTTGATTCAGGAGTTCTGGCCAACTATAGACTTATGTCTAATCTCCCATTCATCTCAAAAATTCTTGAGAAAATAGTTGCAAATCAATTATGTGCAAATCAATTATGTGAACATCTGGATAGAAATTATCTATATGAGGAGTTTCAGTCAAAGTTGAGAGTTCATCAGAAACAGCACTGGTGAAAGTTACTAATGATGTTCTCATGGCCTCAGACAGTGGACTTGTGTCCATTCTTGTCCTTTTAGATCTCAGTGCTGCATTTGATACAATTGATCACAATATTTTATTACGTAGACTTGAACTTGATATTGGGATTACAAGAACAGCTCTAAAATGGTTTGAGTCTTATTTAACTGATAGATTTCAGTTTG